TGGTCTGAATGGCTAGCTCTGGCAGAATTTGTACACAATAACTAGCAACACTCTACAACAGGACAGTCCCTGTTCTTCCTCAATCATGAGAGACATCTGTACTAGGGGACAGTTCTGAACCAGAATAGTAGTTCTGAATCTGTAACAGACTTTACAGAACAGATACACAGAACCAGGGAGGACACACAAGCTCTTTTGGAAAAGGTAGTATAGGTTATGAAGCAGAACTATGATTAGAAGAGGTCTGTAGCCAAGGATTACCAGCCTAGTGACAAAGTTATGTTAGAAGCCACTAACCTGACCACAGATCACCTAATAAAGAAGTTGGACAACAAGTACTTTGGACCCTTTGTTATTGAAAAGAAGGTTAGTGCCTCTACCTACAAACTCTAACTTCTGGCAACATAGAAGCACATACACCCAGTATTTAACAAGGTTCTACTGTCTCAGTACTATGATCCAAGTTTTCCTTCACAACAAAGACCCCTACTGCCTCCACCAGAACTCATTGGTTCTGAACCAGAATACAAAGTAGAGTATGTAGTAAATACTAAGCTAGTGTACAGAAAGCTTAAGTTCCTTATCTACTAGAAGGGATACCCAGTTGAAGAATACACTTAGGAACCTGCTAAGAATCTCACCCATACTGCTAAAGTAATCCAAGACTTCTATCAACTTTATCTAGGTGCTCTGTGTCAACTCCACCTCACAGATTTCCAAACCCTACTGTTCTGACCTATACCTGAGCTGCTAACCAAGCCTAATGTTTACCAATCAGGACAATTGGTTTTAGAGGGGGGGTAATGTTACAGTTCTCTACTCTCATACCTTCAGTTCTAAGGGTTCTACACCCTTCTGTACTAGAACTCAGGACTTCTGTCCCTTAGAGGCACTGTCTATAGACTATATACATACTGACTCTTGCTACTACCCTTCCTTACTTCATTATTCCATTCCTTTGACCACCCCTTTATTCTTTGTTCATTCTATAGTCTCTTACCCTTTGTCCATCCTTTCATTCTTTGTACCTTTATCTTTGACATTCCTTTCATTCATTCTTCATAGCTTATCATTCTTAAGTGACTCATACTCCCTGAGTGCTCTTGTGTAGTTTAGTATATATAGGTGTATAAGATCAGACTGGTCCTATAGTCTTGATCTTGTCTACTCTAAGTAGTCCTGTACTCTTAGGCTCACTCTATATACTCTACTCTTGTCTCACTCTCTCTCTCTACCTGTTCTGTGAGCTCTGACTATGTTCTAGTGCTTGTATTCTGTATCTCTGTTGTGTAGGATAGTTGTAGCCTGGGTCCCCTTACTAAGCCTTCAGGTCCCCCCTACACTGTTACTGACAGTAATAGTACTTGACTGTCTGGGTAAAGATTAGAATGTTGTTTAGATACACACTAACATACTCTAAGTCAATCAGATCTGTAAGGATGTGATTCATAAATGACTAGAATGTTACAGGCAAGTTAGTTAGTCTAAAGAACATTACAGTCAGTTTGTACAGTCTACAATTAGTTTAGAATACAGTCTTTTACTCATCTCTATCTTAGATTCAAATATTATTGTATCCTTATCAAACATCCAACTTAGTAAAGACTCTAAATGTATACATTTTATTAATGAGCTCCTGAATTAGGGGGAGTAGGTACTTGTTTTTAACAGTACCCTTATTAAGGTAACAATAATCCTAGACTGGACAGAGCTTCCTATCTTTCTTTTTGATAAAGAAGAAAGGGGAGGCTATAGAGGATTTTAAGAGTTGGATCTAGCTGTTCTAAAGATTTTCCTAAAGGAACTTGTCAAGCACTTCCTACTCATCTCTGTTAAGTAGATAGACCTTACAATCCTTAAGTTAGAAACCCTTAGTTAACTCAATTGTATAGTCTTAAGAGTAATATTTAGGAAGTTAGTCAAATTCCTCTTTACTAAAAACTTTAGGGAACTCTTAAACAAAATCCAGCAGGCTGGGTCTAAGTGTGTTCTAGAGTTGAGTTGTTCTGAGAGGGTTCTAGACTAGTTTCATCTTAGAAATCCTTCAGATTAATACTGTTCTACCTTGACTAGAATATGTGTCTACATATCTATCCTAGTTAAAGAAGAACAACTAGTCACCTTTATTAGAACTGTTAGTAATATTAGAAGTGTCTGTATCTACTTAGGACAGTAGTACAAGATAGCTGTAAGACTCAGAACACTAATTAAACACAAGTGTCTACTCTAACTAGTTAATAGTAGGGTTGTAAGCTTTAAGCTATTCAAATCTGATGAAGACATCTGTTTTTCTAAGGTCAGTAACTCTAAACTTAATACTTTCCTTATAATCCTAAATAGTCATCTGTAGTTGAACAAACTCAGTAATCTAACTATTCTAGTTTAGAGTTCTGTCTACATTGTACACTAGGATTGGAAGTAGAACACATTAAGTAGGGAGGTAGTGTTCCTATACAAAGACCTTATTAATGTACAAACTAGTACATTCACTGTTTACTAGAGCTATTGTTTGGATCTGGGGGGATTCTAAGAAGGGAGCTAAGAGGATAGAGACTTAGAGCTAGTACTCAGAATGTCCTCTAATAAATTGCTACTTGTTCTGAAGGGAACATACAATTTGTACAGTCTTATTGTTTAAGAGAGTAAGTATATGTACTAACATTTCCTTATTAACCTCTCTCTTTCAACAAGGACAGACATATGTTCTCAACTGTGAACTCAGATAAGACTATCCCTACTTAATATTATAGACAAACTACAGAGTAGTAAACAGGGCTAGATAGTATTCTAAACATTCTGAGTTCTTAGAATGTAGAAGTAGCAGGTCAGATTGTACAGATTTAGACTTAGATAAAGTATGAAGAGGAGAATCAAAAGAATCAGAAGAAATAAGAGAACTATCTACTTTTGTTTTTACTTTTACTTTTTTAATAAATAATTTTGTTAATTTGCTTTTCCTACTTTTTCTACTTTTTCTACTTTATTTACTTCTAATCCTACAGTGTCTATTGAATCAAAAGTGGCTGTTAAAAATCTGAGTTATAGCCCTTCAGTGTCACATTCACTGTTAGGCTTCTACAAAATTCTAGAGTATGTACAGGCATTAGTTGT